CATCCTCCATCCGAAACTGAGACATCACAGTCCAGTACAACGAAAACAAACGTTGCAATTTTGGTTCCCAGTCGAATCAAGTCTACCAGATTATCAGCCATAAATATGACCTATAAATGTCTATGGAAAGCTTTTTAGAAACAACACTGACTTAAGTCCCATTAACAATTCTGTGTGTGTTTCCTGCCTGTATTTAATCCACCAAAATCACAACCAGGATCTTTGTCTAAAATCCTTTTAAACCTGTCAGGGTCTATTGTTTTCTCATAGACATTTGGAATTTCAAAAGATTCCACTTTGCAAACATCTTTAACTCCACCGTTAGCATCAGACAGGCCTAATAAATGTGCCATGATGCTAAAGTATAAGGTCATCATTATTGAGACATCCGTATAGTTTGTGAAAGTCCTTTTAGTACTTAATGAAAATCTCCATCAAGTATTTTGCTTATAATGAGAAACCTTGTCTCTGTGTCACGTTACTTTTATGCTAAGCAGTACAGTGATTAGTAATCTGTTCTATAATTAAATTATATAAATCCTTAAAGATGAACTCAAGTGTCATGAAAGAAGACACTTGACTTCCAGCAACTTTGAGGATGTTGTTAAGCCTTCATTTATTTGTTTTCCCCAGAGTGAGTAAAACAAACTGAAGTCTGTTTGCAATAGTTTTCACCTCATCCTGATAATTTGAGATATTCTATATGGTNCTTCTGTCAGGAATGACTACAAACACACAGCTATGATCAATAAAAAGCATTCTTCTATAGTTTCTATGGTGACTGAAATGGCTCATTGATTGGGCTGTAGCAATGGCATCATCCTTACATGTATTTACACTGTAAGCAAGTCAATCAAATTTGAGGTGGAGGCTAATTGTGACATGATGTGGAATGAATCTTTCAAACTCTTGAATACTGATTGTAGTGTTAGTCACTGAGATGTTTGATGATTGGCCTTTTGATGAAGGGGACTTGTGTGGTCATACATACAGTGCACAGTGTATGTTGATTGGCTCAGCCGGTTGAACACTCTACCAGCACCCTCACCATTAAAACTGCATTAGCACTGGTAGAGTAGAAACTACCTAAATGTCACCATTATCTATGATGTGCTTTTCTTTGTACGTGTGAAGCACAAAGCAGACCGATATTCCGCATGAGGTTTTGCCCCCTAGCTCTCCTTCTAAACATTTGTTGTGCTCGTCCAAGCTTTGCTTTATAAATTAAAACAAAAACTGACAACACAGCTCCAACTATAGTAGTGTTTATGTTGTTGATTTTGAATGATGTCTGTTGATGTACGTATGTGTGTGCTTATCTTATCTTATCTTCATATTGTATCCTAAAAATCATATCATGTGAAATCAGCTCTCACTGTCGCAGTTGCGTAAGAAAAATTGTGTCATTTTGTTCTCAGCTTTGAGTCTGCCACCCCTTCTTGTCACAACATTTCTGGAGGACCCCCCATATGAAATTGCTATTTGATTGGTCCAAAGTTCGTGGGCGCGTTTCTTTATGCTGAAAGCACTCAGCCGTCGGATGCTGCTTTTTGCTCCAACTATTTGCTTCCAGAATCCAACTGTTGTACTTGAAAGTAGACATTTATAACGATGGTCAAATAACCAAAAACTCTCAGATGGAGAGAACGGAGAAATCTGTCTGCCAAAAAAGAGTGGCGCTCTAACCGTGACAATGGCAGATATTTGACGGTGGGGGGTATATCTTCTGGAGTGTAGACTCCAGCATGAAGAAACCCGTGTGCAGTGACGTATACTGCAGCTATAGGGGTTTCCCAGAAGCCAGGAGTTGTCCGTCTCATGGGCTATGAAAAGTGTAAGAAAACAAACGTCGATCAACCATGTGACCCTGCATTGACTGCTTGGGGTCAGCTGGAGTATGCTGGGTCCTTTAGGCCAGGGGTTCTCAAACTTTTTGGGTCTGAGGACCCCTTACAAGTGTGAAAACTTTCCAGGGACCCCCTCATAAACCCCATGCTGTTTTAGAAATAATTCAGTGTCATTTTAAACCCTAAATATTATGAGAATATTATGTTTTTGTTTGGTTTAGTATGTTTGTTTTACTAGAGCATTGTTCCTCATGTTCATTTTTCCAAATAAAATCCTAAATAACCATTTATTGAAAATTTTTGAGGACCCCCAAAATAGGGCTCGTGGGCCCCTGAGGGTCCTGGGATCCCAGTTTGAGAACCTCTGGGTTAGGTTATGGTTGACGTTTCTCTTTCTTTAAACAGACTAATTTTTATATTTCTTGTTTCTCACCAACGCCTGGAAGCCGTTCAGCTTATCGCGAGATGAGACGGATCTTTGCTGAAAACCCAAACTGGTCTCTGGTCCTAGTGCCCAGTTTATCCAATATATGCCTRCAAAGCATTGTGAAGAATTTTGAAGGTATTTAGTTTGCAAATTTACTGCTAACGACTTACTTTTAGGAATCAGACTTGACTGTGATTTGTTTCTTTTTTTCGCAGTAAATCCAGTATTCAGAGAGCTCACGCCCAGCCAGAGACTCTGGGTTCAGGAGACCCTGTCCCCGTCCCTGCCCCTGTCTGTTACAGCCAGCCTGATCCCTGATGGTGTTTACTGGAAGCGATGCTGCGAGCGCAGGTGGGACCTCTGTGACGTCTCTCGTTACGGCCACAGCTGGAGACGAATGTTCTTTGAGAGGCACTTGGAGAACCTGATTGAGCTTTTTATCCCAGACACAACAGAGCCAAAGACTGTTCTTGACGTGCTTCCTCTCTGTAAGAAATACGTCAAGAGGCTCAACATCTCCCAGCTGCTGCCGCCTATAAAAGAGCCTCGGGGGGAGGAGGAGGATGAAACCGACTTGGCTATAGGCGATGAGCACGATGAGCTTTACGCTCGCCACTTCGATTTTGGCCTCGTGCTCGAGAAGCTGATAAACCTGGAGGAGTTGCATGTGGTTTACAGAGTCAAAGAATGTGGGATGAACTTCGAACGGAAGATGTTTCAGATGACAAAGAGAGACTGTGAATCCCTCGGCAAGGCAGTAAAATCCTCTAAGACCCTGAAGGTAAATATTGATTCCTCCCTCTGTTTTTTTATTTTAGCTCTGCATCCTTACATAAGCTGGAGTATATTGAGTCTCAGCACAAGTTTTATGTGGGCAAAAGTTTGAGGATTTCAAACTCAGCCACATAAATGGGGCAAATTTTCAAAACCTGGTCCAAGCCAGTACCAACTTTGATAACATTTATTGGAAAAAATAAATAAATAAACAAAAAAGCAAGACATTTCTATGGAAATTAAAATACTGTATGTCAATGAACAAAGAAAATATTCTAAATTAAAAAAACACATTATTAGAATCCATCAAATCAGCTAAAACAAACCACAAAAATCCAACCGTCGGATTTAAAAAAAAGAATAAGACACAGACATGAAWAATAAACATTAAAACAGACACCTGATATCTTTACTTGGCTGCAAGTTTATCGAGTTTGATGAGTCCTATTTGACCTTCTCTGTTGCTTTTTATACATCAAAACAAGATCAATGAAAACCATAGAGTTGAGTAAGAACACAAGACTGAGCCCTGCCCCAGTCTGTGACAGCATGGGGGAGCAAAAATGGCGTCCTACAAGGACAACAGCTCACAGCCTCCATAGAAACTAATAAACAACAAGCTGAACTGGATCTGTTTCACACATTATCTGTCATGTTTTTAAAANGTGTGTGTGTGTGTGTGTGTGTGTGTGTGTGTGTGTGTGTGTGTGTGTGTGTGTGTGTGACATTCAGCTGAGCACAATATATACATCCACACTCAAACCCACCTTATTCACAGTACAAATTCTTTCTGCACCACAGATTTACACAGATATTAAAAAAGAGCCCCAAAGCGTTCTGTGATGAAGGAGCATGCTTAAAGGGTTTGGAGCTTTACTTTTATTCTAACAGTCGTGTAGAGTAACTCAAAGTTACGAGCGTTTCCGATTTAAACTTTTATATTGTAAATAATGTTGCTGTTTTTATGTAAACATTGCACCAGTAAACATGTTTTATTTGACTCATAATTCTGTTTAAATATCACAGTGAAGCTGCTTTCAAGGCCTGTTGTTGGCCGATGACAAATGAGATGATTTCAAAGAAACTGCTTGTTCTGGCGGCACMAGCTGATTTTCACTCGAGATTTAAAGGTTAAAAAAACGCCATTTTTTAAAATCCTTTATCATTTTTTGTGTGTGTTTGTTCTCTGAAGCGTTCATTTGATTTTCTGACTCAATTACAGCCAGCCCTTCATATCTCAGAGATAACTCTATAAGAGCATTAATGACTCAGACAATTGAATTTGATCTTTCTCAAATACGTTGCTATTTTAGCTGAAAATAGAAAGGCTGAACTTAAAGACTAGAATAGAGAAAACAAARCGTTTTTAATAATAACAACTTAGAAAATAAATTATCATTCATCGAATAATAGTCAAATAAAATGTGAGCCATCACATCGAAACGAGGATTAACTCCAAAAGTGGTATAAGGAGAAATAGGCAAATATAGTGTTTTGACTAAAATGTTAACAAAAATTGCATTTTGTCTAAATATAATGAATAAAAGCCTTATCAATGTATCATTTGAATGAACTGTCTGAAATATAATCATAAAACAAAAATTTGAAGCAACTTTTTTAAAGAGTAACAACAACAAAAAAACAGATTTTGAGGAAAAATGCCTTAAAATTTTAAGATTTTCCCTGTGAGCTACCAAAGTTTTGTTTCTTTTCAGCTGGGAAATCTCAATATTCAAACATAATTTGAGGTTTCCACTTAATAAGGACATCAAAAATTCCTCATTAAAATGACATAAAATTAGGATTCAGACAAAATATTTATGTATTATTGTAACCAACAAGACAAATTAAGTCATATATATGGATTTAATTATGATATCAGAATGATCCAGGTGTCAAAATGTAGCTTTTAAAACCAAGATTCTGAAAATGTAATTAGGTCATTTTGACCAAATTTGACTTAATCCTCATTTTGATATGATGGGTCACAAATTACCCTAAAATATGCTTCAGTCACTTTACTGTAATTTTAGAAAACATCTTAGTTTTGTAAATTTAGATTTTCAGTATTTTTATCTTCAAGCTGTTGGATTTGGTTTATCCTAAAGAATTAATTGTAGTTGTTTATTTATGGTGCATCCAGGTTTGCTCAGTAATTAGCTTGACATCTTTATATAGAAAAAAACAACCTGTTTGTGAAGCCACGATTAACTCGCTGCAGAGTCATCCTACAATGACTGGAGAAATGTTGAAGCCAGCAGAATCACTGCCCTAAATACCACCCTGAGTTTGGAGGGGGGGTTGCATAGGTGCAAACGATGAAATCTGAGGTTTCAGCCTAGCTTCAGTGTTTGCTTTAGCATATTTTTGTATTGCTATAAAGACAACTCCAACACCTCACTTGGAATGTAATGATTCTACAAAGTTGCAAACAAAACACCTTATCGAAGGTGATGCCATTCATAGAGTCATCAATGTGTAGGGTGAGTGAGTCGTTGATAATAAAATGTACAAAATGCATTTTATTATGCATGGCAAAATAAAACCTGCCTGAGGACTCATGCATACGATTAAGAGGGAGTAATTTTATTGAATCTGACGTTATCGTAGTAAATCCAGGCCTCTGTCTGTTTCTGCTGTAAAAGCTCTGTCTCTCTGATGTACATCATCATCATCATCGTCATCGTAGCAATACGAAAAGTACTTTCTAATCAATTTATGGCGCAATGGAAAATCATCTGGGAAAACATTTATGACCTGGTTGAAAAGAGCAAATATTTCTTCAACAATAATATAAGAAAATACAACATTTCTGCTTCACGAACAATGTGCTACTGTTATCCCGCTTTCATAGGAAGATGCTGAATTAAACTGTTGAGGCGAGGCACTTAAATAAAGAGGTAGGCCGAACAAGAATACTGCAAAATGTGGAATTCAAAGTATCTTAAAGATTATAAATCAGGTAAATTGACATTATCGTTCCTGGCCTTTACCCAGAGTATTCAGTTTAAGCCGTTTGAGCAAATCTTGATTCTGTTTTGAGTTTCTGTGTCCTTTAGCTACTCTGAACTAAATTATTCATGTTCCTCCCGTGCTATATTTGGCAAGGAAGGGAATATAATGTCATCCAAACAAGCTGTTTTCTGCTTACTGAGCATTTTATCTCCAGAAAAATCATGTTTTTAATACTTTTTATACACGTTTTAAGTAAAGATTTACATATTTAAACTGGCCACAACCAGACTGTTTAATTACATGCAGATTTTGGATTTTACCTGAAGTAACTTAATCAGAACGTAGGATATTTAATCAGGTTTGAACTTTTTTACAGCAGCTGGTTAGTGTTGATAACAAGACTGATGGCTTTATTTGTTTCCTCATGACACACAAGTCTCATGACTCACGTRGTGTGTGCGTCGCAGTGAATTTCCTCAGTATTTTTCACTTCCATTACTATCACATCTCTTTCAATTCTTATCAGCTTCTCAGTTTCCCAGTGAGTCAAAGTCTATTTTTAGCACAGAATTGTTACTCATTTCACTTTTATGGCATTCGCTAAGCAGGATGTTCCAGCATCTTTAAAGTTTGAACAAATCACGCTTTTTTTAATGTGAGGAAAAAATAAGCTTGCATCATCTGGGAGTTTTCTCAGCCGTGTGGTGGAGTGTGAGTGTGGGTCATAGCGACGTTTCCACGCAGGAGCCGTTCCTGTGCAGCGAGCGGTGGTCGTGGTTGAGGCAGCCTTCGTTGCGATGCACGATGAGCACCGGGAAGCACAGAGCGTCCTGATAGGCCGGAGGGTTCTCCTCGCCGCTCGGCTGGCCCGACAGACAGCGAGTGCTCTCGTTGGGACAGGACGGCTCGTTCAGGCTCCCGCTGCTCCTCCACAGGCAGCTCCGCCTGGAGCCGTACAGCCGACCCAGAGAGAAGCGGCTGGCGCTGAAGGGGACGCGGGGGCTCGCCGTGTTGCAGATGCTCAGGGCGCTGCGGGAGAAGATGGAGGAGCTGCTGATGGCGCGATGGCAGCGCTCGCAGTTTTGCCTGTAGCTTCCGTAGCCCCCGCATACGGCGTAGCCGTTGCAGCCCCCGGAGAGCTGGGCCAGATCCATCAGGACTGCCTCGGAGTAGCTGGGCACCAGCTGCTGGTTGGAGCGGATGTGCCACTCCAGCTCTGTGCTGTCGATTGTGTTGACCCGCGGGATGCGTCTGCAACATGGACGCTCCTCGGATGGCGTCGCTGGCGCAAAGTCAAAGCCGAACAGCTTCTCCACGTGGTAGTGCACGCAGGCGGTGCGGTATTCTGTCAGCACCCGCAGAGGCCAGGAGAGGGTGAAGGCAGCTGCCACCCAGAACGTGGGGTTGGACGCGTACCAGGGAGCATGGTTGAGGTCGGCAAAGGCAATCATGTGCTCCTTAAAGTCGACATTCTTTAGATGCATCCCCTCACGGGCCTCCATGTAATCATCCAAGCCCTCGTTTTCTGTAAAAAACCTGGCTCGCTGGGTCAGGTAGGTGTTTTCTGACTCCACGTTGGCAAAACTAAAGCACTTGGTGAACCTCAGCCTGGTGATCGGGAACCCCTCCAGGCCTTGCAGTTGCTTTGAGATGTCCTTAACACCACAGTTSCCGTAGTCAAACTCTGCCTCAGCCACGTGCGTGTTGACTCGCTCGTGGTAGACCTGCGTCGTGGTGTAGGCGTCTCCGTTACGGTAGCGTGTCACCTGCCGCGTCCTCCTGACGTAATGATAGCTGATGGCTTTCCACCAGATGCAGGGCGTAGCCTGTTGCATCCGTTGTACGCGCTCACCTACGTTGTTCACGTCTACCTTGTACTGCAGCTCGTTCCTGGCGTAGCAGTGCCAGCACTCCACCAGGTAGACCACGTAGAGCATGACCAGGAAGGCCAGGGGGATGTAGATGTAGCCGTTGGAGCAGGGACTGTCATGGTACATCATAGACTTTCCCTTGTAGGCACTGTCGAAGGAGAGCCGTGTGACCTTGGTCACCTGGCACCAGGCCATCACCCCAACACAGCCGTACATCAGCATGGACAGCAGCAGGCATTTCCAGTGTGTTTCCTGACACAAAGACTTAGCAAGAGACTGTTTCTGAGGGTGCTGCTGTAAAAACCAAAAACAAAGCAAGACGTTAGAGGGATGAAAAAGAAACTGCACCAGACATACTGACAATAATCTACCTGAGTGTGCAGTATTAAATATGAAATGCCAGTTTAATTGATAAATACGTGGTAGATATAAAGTTATAAGGAAGTGGCTCAAACAGATAAAATATTTAAGGCCATTTCTGTTTCATAAGTGCTTTTGCATAGTTTATGCATGAGCCTGAAGCAGGTTGCTCATGTCTTGGTCTGTGCTTGTTATAATCACTGTAATAGTTCAAGTTTTGTAGAAAGATAAATATTCATTAAATACCTTATTTTAAGATTTGAGTTGTTTTATGAATGCATGAACGTTGCAAATGTAGGCGAATTAGAGCATTTTCTTTGTACCACCTATTAAGAGGTTTATTGGCTTTTATTTTTTTTTAAAGTCTAAATGATTTTCCTTAATTTATAACCAATGGGTGTAATAAAAGTTAAAGACTCCCGTTTTAGGAGCTGTGTTTATCATCACAGTGTGGTTAAAGGGCAGGTGGCACAGTCTTGACCTCTTCTGTCTATGTCCAATGAGGATGATTTGAGAAGCTGTTAAACTGGAAATAAAGATTTTAGTGAAATATTATGGAAACTGACACAAAAGTTAGAAAATACAACCAACATATTTCAGCATAAGCAAAATAAAAATGGCTGCCACACAGCAGCAGCTTAAACTTAACTAAAAGTTCTCGGGTTGATTTAAATTATTGGTGGGGATATTCTAATTGAATCATTGCAACAAGTTTGATATATTATTGTGTTTCAGACTGTTTTTCAGTAACGTTTCACATAAACATATTTGATTGTGATCTGGTCACCTTAAGATATGTTTACAGTGTAAAGAAAAGGTTAGCTGAGGTTGAGTAAGGGGGAAAAACCCATTTGTTTGTCTCTGGCTGCTTAAAGCTGATGCCATCGTTTATCACCTCACCACGCCAGGCCTCAGTGGGTGCAACAACGACATCTCAGGATGTCTCACACTGTAAAAGCACCGAAACCTGGCAGAGAGATTAGAACAAAATTGACATAAAACCTCGAGTTAGAGCTTTTAAATCATCTTTTTTTAGTTCAGAGGTCAACTCCTTCAAGTATCGCTGCAGTAATGAATCCAACATGTTCACTCTGTGCTCTCTGGGTGACCAAAAAAACATAAATAATAAATGTTTTTCTCCTTAATTATCTTCCCCACCTTGGTCGCCAAGTCTCTTACCAACCATAGCTACATCCCACGGGGTGAAGGAGATAAACACTGAACCTCCCCACTGAGACAAACCGACTCCTGGAGGAGGATATGCTCACCAGCATCCTGTGCTTGCTCGCCAACTTTAATCAATACAACATAACGTACTTATAGCTCACGTTACACACAGACTCTGCTCAAACATGGACATTTGCGAACAAGAAGGTTTTCTGCTATCCGACACGGAGGCTGTGGTTTATTCAAATGTGCACACCTGCAGAGTGAAATGATTACACAAAGAATACTYCCTGTCTGAGAAGAGAGCTGTTCATTAAGTCTGTGGAGATTAAAGGAAGTGACTCACCACCACCGTGCACACTATCAGACATTTCTGCTTCATTAGGCAAAGAAAATACACTGTTCTGCTAAAATAGTAAGAAAGTCGTCTAATTACACGTAAATTTCCCGTGAAGGAGGAAAACCAACCAGGATTTGAAGAATCACTTTGAATATCCAACCCCCTTGAATGAGATCTACATAAATGTGGTTTTCAGACCACCGCTACGTCAAACCAATCATCTAAGATGTGCATAATAGTTTTATTTTTGACTTTAATTGGAGATTTTATTTATTTATTTATTGTTCATTGGAATATTTTTGTGCAAACTAAAGCCCTAAGGAATGGAAATTAATATACTAAAGTACGAGTTTCAGTCTAAAAAAATTTATAAGCTCTGTCCACGGGAAAAAAAAAGAAAAAATGATGTCTAACAGAAAGACAAGTCTAGAAAACATGCACACAGTCTCTGGCTTAAAAAACTGCCCCTGACACTCACGGATACTCTCTCTTGACAGAATAAGACCAGTTAGGTTACATAAAAAGCCTCTTGTGTAATGGATGTGCAACTTATCCAGAATGTGTGTTAAAGAAAGCCTATATGGGTCTGTAAGGAGTACTGGAACTTTATTTTTATTAAAATGTGTATTTTAGTAGAGTAGAAGCAGATTTTGGTTGAATATTATGGCCCGTTCCCATTAGTACCTCCTCAGCACGGTTCCATGCCGTTTCCATCATCCAGGTTTCATGGAACCGGCACTATTTTTAGTACCTACTCCGTCAAGGTTCTAACCGTACCGTGCTGGCCTGAAAACATGACGTCATAATGCTGTCGGTCACTGATTGGTTGGGGGTGGAGTCGCTGGTTGCATCTGATAAACACTTCATAATTCATAAATTATAATCATAATTTTACTTACCAAAGTCATGCCACTGAGATTATGTTATAACTTGTAAGATTCATAATTTGCAAAGATTCATAGAGACCAAAATATACTAACTGTTTTGAATTCAACAAAAAACTTCATGGTTTAAGACCAAAGTTAAATTGAATGTTTTCAAATCTACAGCTGCTTGAAGCTACATTTCTCTGATGACAGCACTGCGGGATTTCTTTCTACAATTTTAATGTACACCTTACTGCATTATCTGTAAATAACAAAAGTCAAGTGATTTTTAAAACATCTTTATTATCCAACATGTTTAGGTTCTGCAACCACGGCACCTTTGTAAAACCAGGAACAATAATCCAAACAATAAACACGTCCAGACTGTAGTTTTGCGGTGCTTATTTTGTAGGAAGTTTATCTGAAATACACACTTTAATGTCTGCCTTCATTAAAAAAAATAATAAATAAAATCACTGTCTGAGGCTGGTTGTCTGCAAAATAACAAGCCCACGCATTATGTTTGCTCGTTCTTCTTTGTTTCTGTTTTTGCACCTTCACTTGGACCCTTTTCAAGACCCTTAATGGGTCCCTGAACAGGTTCATCCACCTTGTTGTCTTTCATGAAGCCAATTAGAGCATTTACTGAGAGCACAAAGCTTCAGTGCATCACATCGATTGGAGGCTCCTTTGTCTAACTGGGAGCGTTTGGTCCTTACCTCCTCCCTTGGACCATCTGTCTCCTCCTCTGGGACTGAGGTGGTGCTGCTTTCACTGGCCGTCGCAGCCGATGATGCTGGGGACATGATGAYAACAACACAAAGACCGGCGCATGGATCTCCCTTTGGGACGTTTGTTTTCCAGAACAAGGTGAAACATAAACACAGAGAACCCCCCACTGCGCGTCATCTAAAGACCCTCCGGTCCTGCAAGAACCCGAGGAAAGACGCAGGAAGGACGCATCCTCTCTCCTCCTCCTTCAGGTGGGCTCGTTCGCTGAAGGGAATCAGGATCTTTGCGCCACCGACCCCAGGCTTGCAGAGAAAGGCTGAGCCTCTTCCCGCTGTGCAATGATCCGAATAAAGGCGACTTGCTGCAGGAGATGCGCTGTATTCAGCCAGCTCGTTTTTTTTTCCCTTCCTGCTGACACCGCAGCCAGTGAGAGTGTGAATCAGGACAAAGACAGACACGTGCGAGCAGTCAGTYCGACACCACGGTGCAAATAAAGAGAGTAGAGAGAGGCGCTGCTGCACAGGGAACCTCCCTCCCTCTGCAACCCATTAATACATGCTGTCTGTGCTGCTGGGAGAGGATGCAGACACACAGGCCCAGGGCTGCCACCCAGTAGGCTGCCATAACACTCATCATAAAAGCCTATTAACCTCCGCAGCATTGGCTCTGCTCTGCACGTGTTTTATCATATTCTGGGGTGTTTGGGATGAAAATTTCATGAATTTGGGGAAACATGGGGCGCTGAGTGTAAAATAAAATGTTAAAAAATCTCACTATTTTCATTCATTAGGTCACTTTCTGTGTGCAAAATCCCAATTTCCACTAACATTTTAATGTTATTTAACTATTAGGCCTACTAATTCATACTAAATGTTAAATTGTTAAAGAAATAAAATTATTAAAGGAATATGAAATTGTTTAATTTGTATTAGTTACTGTTTGAGTTGAATTTTTTTGTTTTGTTTTATTATTTGGTTTATTATTATTTGAAATGTTTTTTTTTAAAGGAGCAGATAAGATTTTTTCTTCTGCTGTCTTTCATTTTTATTTGTTTTGTATTGTTTTATTGTCTGAAATGTTTTGTTTATTTTTTAATGAAAATGAATAAATATTATTATTTTAATGAAAATGAATAAATATTATTATTAAATAATATATGTAAACATGAATGTAAAAGTTAAATCTTAAATGTGGCTAAATATTAACGTTTACAAGATTTTCTTTGTCTTTGCTGTTGGCTCTTGTTATGATGTCATCATCCTGAGACAAAGCTAACGCTGCTAACGTCGCAGGTGGCATTTAAAATTTAAATTGAAAATGTGTCCATTGAAAGCAATATGGATGGTGCCTGTGGTCTGTTTGAAGAGCAGCTCAGACGGCCGCAACTGAAAGTTTGATGTCTTTGGGTAGCATTAGCGGCTTTAGCGGTGTTAGCTTGCTTTTGTCTCAGGATGATGACATCATAACAAAAGCTGGGCTCCAACAGCAGAGGCTTTGTTCCATTCCGAAATACATAAATGTAAACTTCAACATTTAAGATTTAACTTTTACATTTAAATTTACACATTTAGATTTAGGAGATCATTTTAACATAATCTATTTAACATTTAAATTGCGCCCCAACCATCTGAAACCTCCTTTCACTTTTGTTTGTTAGTAAAGGACAGAATGATTACCAGAAACTGTTACTGCAGTTTGAAAGTGGGACTAATTTCCTTTTATGGTGATTTCCTCATCCTTAACTGAGGGCCTGAATTCCTGTTATGACTGAATCAAACAGAGATTTGTCAATTTTCATTGTGGCTTTACATAAAAATGTGAGCAGGGACGCACAGCGTGACTCCCGTAGGTTTTCTACGAGACAACATAATCTGATTTTTGTCATGTGAAATTGACGGGGAAAAGATTAAGCACAAGAGAAAGCATATTTTTCATTCCTGCTTTGTGCACAGTTTACCTATGAATCCTTTCCTCATAGTGCTACATGACACAACCCTGTGTTCATCATAATGCACCATGTGGACATTGGACTGGGCTGTTGGCAGAAGGTGGAGTGGGTAAACATAACAGTAGGTGACATGAAAACAGATGGCAGCAATAAAGACATTTCTCTGGCACCCAGTATTGTTTTATAGATTGTATTGGTTGTTAATCTGGCCCTCTGAGAGCAGAACAGAAGCAGTCTAAGTGAGCCCTCTAAAGGCCAAAGCACATCAAGCATGTTGCTTTTTTAATAACAACAACAACAAAAGAAAAAAACAATTATAGTTTGGGATTACTATTTGATGTTCTGCTTACATGGATTATTGTTTCCTGGATTCAGTTTGATTTATTTTATTCAGGAGGATCCACAAAAGTATATAAAACAACTTTAAGCATTGAGGGATTTGATAACACAGTAGCTCAAAGGGGCAGATTGACACAAAAAGCCCTTTGTACACTATTGATAATAGAGTTGCATCTTTATCAAATATAATATTATTTATAATACAGCATTTATATAAATCAAACTTAACTTTGGCACCTTTTCAAAAATCAATATTAAAGGGGCAATATTATGTGTTTCTCAGGCATATATTTAAATACCATACCATAATAAAATATCTATGTCACCTTTAGCTGTTATTAAAATGCTGTTTTAATGTTTAAACAGAAAATAAATTTATCTTCTCATCACTTCCTCTTCCAAACGCCTTGAAATTGGCCTCTGTCTCTTTAAGAACCACCTTCGCTTCTGTCTCGCCATGAGGAAGTTTGGCTTAAAGACACGCCCCGGGGGGCGTTTCTGGTCCCCGCCTGTCGTTTTGCTCCTAAGCATGGCTTCCTAAAAACACTGCAGGATTTCTCAAACATGCATGAATGAGTCAGAGCAAGGCTTTGGGCATGTTTTTATGAGAGTATAACATTATAACATGATATAAAACTCAAAAAAGTTGATTTTACATGATATTACCTCTTTAAATTTGATATACTATAAATAATAGTCAATTTGATCACTGGTCACCATGCAGTGACTCCTAACAGAGCAGTACTTCCGGTATTCACTAAACAATACAAAATAAAACTCGCATCTTTGCTCCTGTCACAAAAGCAGAATYTAAATCATAGACCAATACACTGGTAAATATAATAAATCAAGTATGTGACTTATAAAGGCGAGGGAACAACACGCTATCTCCTCATCTCCCGTCGGCACAGCTTTTATTTTGAAAACTCGYCATTTCCGCCATGACAGCGTACTCTGCGAGGAACTGTTTTTATGCGCACGCTCTGTGGCGAGCGTGTGCACCGGGGATTCCCCCGCGTGACAAAAACAGCTTCTGTSGGGTTCTCGGCTTTCATTGCTCATAGGCTCCTCGCCTGGATGGTTTTATGTTACCGGATATCTGGTCGACGGGTAGCCGTGTAGCCGCTTCTTGTTTTGTTTCACCGGAGTTTGAAACTAGCGGCCATGATGGTTTGAAACGGTTCCCCCCMAAAAAAACACTCGAGCTGACTTGCTTGTGTTACTGCGAGGGGAAGTATTTATCGGTTAGTGGCATGCTTGTGCGTAGCGGCTCGGTCCTCTGGTGTCACAAAGGAGCGGCGGTTTCCTCGGGTGCTAGCAGGCTGTTTGGTCGCACCAGCAGCGACAGCACCGGCTAAAAGCCCTCAGATTCTCGGGGAAGAGCCGGGGTGGTGGTGGTGGGGAGAGGGGCGACCATGGCGAGCAAGGATCACGACCTGCACGACCGCATGGACTCGGGCATCGACTCGTACCACTCCATGCTGAAGTCCGAGGAGCCCGGCTGCGACTCCAGCAAGCCCAGGGACAAGCTGTCCGCCGCGGAGGAGCGCCTGGACTCGGCCTACGAGTCCTCGTCCATCACGGTGGACAGCCTGTCGCAGACCGTGGAGGGCTGCACTTTGTCCGGCAGCGCGGAGGAGCAAACACCGCCTGAGCCTCCCGAAGAGTGGAGCTTACTCACAACCATCACAGAGGATGGAGACACGTAGGTTATTTATTTATTTATTTATTTATTTATTTATTTATTTATTTATTTATTTACTTATTTACTTATTTACTTAACTTGCTTACTTACTTA